CACTCATTTGACCACTTCAAACATTCGTCATTGGTGTTGGACCGGCCGCGAGGGGGAAATCGCACTCGGGTCGCCGGGTTTCGCCAGCCAGCGTTCCCCCCCGCGTGACTGCTCGCACACAATCTAGATTAGAAGTTTTCGTGACTGCAGGGATCCATACTCTTTGGTTCTTTCGGTAAAGTCACTATAGGTAGAAAATAAAATAAATTAAATCACGATGTTTCGGCCTCTTGTTCCAGCAGCCCTTTTGCCCACTTCAGCAATTGTTTCTTGCTGTGGTTGACGCTTGTGTTGCACCCGAAACGTCGTGATTTAATTTATTTTATACCTACGTGACTTTACCGAAAGAACCAAAGAGTATGCTCGCGCACAGACAAGACGCACGTCGACTGATCTGTCGTGGTATCCTTCTTGTTTACCGACAAAGTTTCATCCGACTAGTTGCTATCGCCCGCAAGAGTCGGCAGCGGGCTGATGATGACGAACGAGTCCAATTTAGCCAATGGACGTCACAGGCGTTCCTCGCACACACGGGGAGGGGGGGTAGGGGGCTGCCAGAGGAGGATGCACGATGGACACCGGTAGATCGCATCGTCACTCTATTCTGTTCTTCTGTTTAGTGTTTCACGTTACGTTAAGGTACGTCAAACATCGACTGCACCGTGTTCCCCCCTGAGTTTTGCTCCCCACCCCCTCCCTCCCCATCCCTATTAAACGTGGTCAAACTACAGCGGTTGTCACTCGCTTTCCAGTTCAGGGCTCATCGCGTAAACCTTACGGAGCGCGCACCCCGCGATCTGCGTCGTCGACAGCCGAGCTTGCACGAGAGCAACGCGAGACCCCGACGCGGGCGACAGAGTGGCGCCTTTCCGTCAACGGAGATGCGCGACCATACTTCACCACCCTGGTCAGTGGGGGGTGGGGGGGGTAGGGGAAAGCCCTGGGCCGGCTCAAATATCTCTCGCCCCCGATGTTAGCTGTGCTCCCACAACCGAACCGAGGTTACTGGGTTCAATGCACTAATCACCGTGCCGCTGCTCTGCCACCAGGTAGTGGGAGACGCCAGCCTTCATCACTGTCATCGGTCACGATCAATCCACTGCTGGATGAAGGCCACGAGGCGTGCGACGACTTGCTTCCCTAGCAATTCAATAATTACGTGTCACAATTTGAGGCCCCGCTTTCATTCAATCCTCCCTTTGCAAACGGCTGTCAATTTACTGCCTCCAGTGAGTGCAGAAATTAGGCAGGACAATTAACATGCAAAACAATTATTTCTCACAAGCATGATCAAATGCACGTATTATCATAAACTTAACAATGAATTTCAATCGATGAATCAATGCATCGTCACGTGCCTCAATAACATCGACAACTGAGCTACTAAACTGGCCTGAACTCTAGTTCCAAGATTTACAATCCCAAATTTTTGTTGCTTTTTTTTGGCAATTGGCACCGCGTGCCCACGTTTTTTTCCGTTCACTGCTGTGTTTGGAAGAAAATGCCCACAATTTTTTCCCACCTGTGCCTGCTACTGCTGTAGCGGGGGGCGGGGGGGGGGGCGATACAACAGTTGTAGTTACCCTACAACAACAACAAAAACCACGCACCACCACCCACCGTGGGCGGACCGGTCCATCGAGGCCCCAACGTGCACGCGCAACTGGCCCAGACAAAACAAGCCCCCGTCTGTCCGTCCGTGTCGTCATCGTCATCGCCAGACTTGTGCGCTCACGGGGTTTGTCAAGGTGGGGCAAAGATTAAATGTTTCCCCGCCCGTCGCCTCTCACGACCGCTACAATACGTCTGTTGTACCTTTTGCAAGTGTTGCATTTGTATAGTTTGCGCTGCCCGTGTGTGTCGTTGCAGCACTTGTTTGCATTTGTAACCGAAGGCTTCCTTGAAGAAAACTAAAAAAAGAGGCTTTTAGATTCGACGGACTCATTATTCATCGCCATCAGAAATCAGAATACTGGAGGAGCAATCCGATGAGCTATGAAGCTCTTCTTTTTACAGATGTCCAGTAGCGGCGGGTCGAAACGTTACAACAAGAAACAATACAACAAACACGATATGAGTGCAAAGTACAGGGAAGGCAATCAAATCACACAAAAACACACACATAAAACCAAAGCATTCCCATCCTTAGCCATGACTTTACCATCCACTGTTGGACAAAGGCCTTCCCAAACATGTCAGACGCCGTTCCGTTTTCTTGATCGACATCCGTGTGTTTCTGAAGCGCGTCTCACTAAATGAGCTTTCATTAACATTTGGAAATTGAGCACAATAAAATGATGACATTTACCAAGTACAGAGCGAGGCATCTACACTTCACTCATAAACGCCATCTTCGTTTTTTCTTCTTTAGAACCGGTTACTTACACGGGGAGAGAGGTGCGAGGAATTATTTGAAAATGCTCGACGTGAAAATCAATGTAATGATTCAAATCTACGACAGACAAATTCACCCTGGATGCATCCTATCTAAGCAGGCTCGAGCCTGGGGTTGCTACTTGCGGGAGTGACCCAACAGGGCTCGGCAGGTCAGAATCACGATGTTTGTTTATTCTGGAGAAATCCGATGAGCTATGCAGCTCTTTTTCACAGATGCCCAGCAGGGGCACGGGGTCAGAAGGTTACAACAAGAAACTATACAAACAACACGATAGGCACACCCTTGGGTTTTTTCGGCAAAGTCACGTAGGTAAAACATAAAAAGACACACTTAAGCGGTTGAGCTATCGCCGCGTTGACCCCACCTGAAGATGGACGCTTGTGTTGCGCCCGAAACTGTCGTGATTTAATTTAGTTGTTTTCATTTTAAATTTCTTTAATTTTTTACCTACGTGACTTCACCGAAGAGTATGGATCCTTGCAGTCACGAAAACTTCAAATCTAGAATTAACACGATAGGCGTTGCCAAGTATAGAAACAGCAAGCAAATAGCTACACAAATAAAGACGTAAAATAGATAAAGCATATAGGTTCAAATTGCACAAGTACACAAATTCTCAAGCTTGGTGGGGGGGGGGGGGGGTCAAGGCAGCAAAACAACAGCAATGACAGTGCCAGACCACAAATCGCCGCTGGCTACGGCCAACGGCGATTTGTGCCGAGCGTCAAACCACCGCGCCGCCCCGCTCCTCGTGCGCGCGGTGGGTTTTGCCCCGAATTCTCGCGACTTTCGGTCACACGAAGCCAAGCTCTCGTCGACAGAATCGGCCCAACGTCTCAGTTCAACAGGTGAGAGGAGCACGTTGAGGGGGTTCACGTCCACCGAGGAGGCGGATGTGGTGAGATCTGCTCGCTCGCCTACGCCAGGTGGATAACAACGCCGCAGCGACAGCTTGGGGGGTGGGCCTTCATCCAGCAGTGGATCGATCATGGCCGGTTACGATCACCGCTTCCGAATCACGGACACCGACGTTAACCGTGTTCCCCCATAGCATGCCGTGAGCACCATTGGAACCTCAAATGAGGTTCCAATCTAGAATTAACACGATAGGTTCCAATGATGTAAATGCTTTACCCCGAGCTCTCATACTCTGATGGTGCATTGTATTTGAGTTGTGCGTCTTTTGGCATCATCTGGTCCAACCTATGTGAGACTAGGCTCTAAGGAAAGCTGTCTCGGGTGTGGACCAATCAACTTCAAGGACAGTGCACACATTATCAGAGTTATGTTTTTTGTTTGCATTATGACTGCAGGAATTGTGGTCTATGCAAACATGACTCCTTGTAAAAAAGGTGTCAGTTTTGATGCCATATAGAAGGGTAAAAAAACAATTATCATGCCGTGAGCACTCGCAACGCAGAAACTGCTCCCGGTAAAAGTATCGAAGCCAACGCGGCTGGAGAGAATTACGCGCAGAGGGAACACAGGTTGTCACGTTTTTTTTTGTTTGCTCTGAAAGACGATCTTCCCCAAAAAAAAAATGCATTTCAGGGAAATGTAAAAGCGCATTGGCCATTGTTCTGAGAATACTCTGAACTCGGACCCATCGAGAAGGGAGTGCGTGCACGCGGGAGGAGATGGGGGGTGGTGGTCACTTTTTATTGGCCCATTGTTTCTCGACGGCCTTTGTTGAAGTGATAGATTCAGATCAGTTGCTTACACGAGTGGAAACAAAAGCGAGCGCGAGGGCTTTCAAAAAGACGAAAAACAAAAACAAAATTAAGCGAGCAGGCGTCACGTGGCTCATGCTGCTGCGGCTGCTTGCTGCTGGACATTTCATCTGTCCGTCGCACTCCCCATTTACGAGGCGTCCGCGCTGCGGACAGACGTTTCCTGCTGCCAGCGATGGTCACCGGGAACTTTGGCAGGAGGGGCGGTGGGAGGAGGAGGGGGGGGCATGGGGGGGGACATGGGGGGGGAGGGAGAGGGATGTTCAATTGTGCTGGGAGTCAGAGATGAGGATCGTCGTCCGCTGGAGTACATGGGAATGTGCGTACGCTCAACTTCTTTCGCACCTTACGTAGCCGTGCTATCAGAGGTGCGGGGGGGGGAGGACAACAAACTGCGGCAAAGGAATCGGGACTCGGGTTCACACGACTGGACGAGGGGGCCTCCCCGCGGCGTGCGGGTCGCGAGGGTTTCTGTGTCCATACTTCACTGCGCCGGTCAGTGCGGGGGGGGGAGGTGTAACACTGAATGCTGCTGCGTCCGCCACGTGCCCGCCCCCCCCTCTCAACCTTGAGACCGGACATCGAGGATGGCTCGGCAGAGTGCGATGAAACACGAAAACAGAAAGGCAGCGTGCGAAAGAAAATGCCGAAGATGCCCTCCCTCCATGCAGGAATTTACAGGGTGCTCGGCCAAGTGCTGGTCGCGAGCAGCACCTATAAAGGCCGGTACTGCACACGAGCGGGTGGTGTGGCCAACACCACGCCCGTTCCGCCTACGTCTCCCCAGTGGCGACGTTTGCACGTCGCACCAGGTACGAATTAAGGCCGAGTCGACCTAGGGGAGGGCCCAGGACCAGTTCAGATATTCGTCGCTGCTATTGGCAGCACATATACTCAAGCTGGAACGACACAGTGAATATTGGCGTGGCCTCTGCGCAAGGATGACACGCAAATGTGCATAGGCGCCACACTCACAGCCACGAATGCATATCCCAAGATTACACGGAGCTTCTTAGCTCATCGGATTTATCCAGGATAAATAAAGATTTTGATTCTGATATAGCCACTATGTTTCGATTTAAAGCTTTCATGATTGCAGGGATTCATATTCTTGGTTCTTTCGGTAAAGTCAGGTAGAAGGGAAATAATAAAATAAGATAATTTTATGTTTAATATTTGTATTATTTTTTTATTTCCCTTCTACGTGACTTTACCGAAATAACCAAGATTAGCCACTATGTACTGTATTAGCAAAAGAGGAAAAACTCCTTCCACTCATGTTCCAATTGTGTGATGGTAATCGTGAAATTAAAAATTTGGGACTCTGCAGCTAGTAGTGCATCACCCTGTGCCAGAGAACAGCACTGGAAGAGGTCACATAACTACTGCAACAAGTCCCTTGTATTAACATCTTTATCCACATTAGGGGTACACCTGTGCATCAAACGGATACGCTTAAGTGTCAAGTGGCGGGGGGGGGGGGTGTTACAATATTTGTATCTTCATTGCAAACTTTCGTTGAAATAAAAGCAAAAAAATCTGATTTGACGAATGTGATAATTGTGAAGACCACCAACGCATTACAGGCTCGAACCCAGGTTCTCGGCAGTGCTGGGCTGAGGGTTCCCCGACCACAGAAGACGACAACACACACCGACCACTTCAACAAGAAGATGTTCAAGCAAGATGCCAACGTTGGAGGGTGAGCGCTTCTCACGAACGCAGTATCCATGTCTGGGGCAATGTCAAGCAACGCAATCGCAAGTCGAGCATTCTGGCAATTATACACAAAGCATTCTGTTCCCCAACTGCGAGGCTGTGGAATTCTTTACCCGAGGCTATCAGACACTTGCATGTTGTGGGTAATTAAAAAAAAATCTAAACCCAAAACATTTTTTTTTATTCGCTGGCCGTTTTAAACGATGTGCTCCGTCTTCCCCTGTCACATGATGGTAATTATTTGTTCCGCGTTTTGCGATTTTATTCTGGTTTTGATCGCACAGCGCTTTGGGACCATTGGCTTGCAATTAATATTATCATCCATAATAAAGAGATTTTTTTTGGGTTAGATCGTGCCAATATAAATGTGCCGTTAAACCCGCCACCACCCGATACAACCAATTAGTAAGGCTTGTCAAGTAAAAACAAAAACGTGCCAATTAGTTACTAGTTTAGCACACTTGTGTGTTGGAGAGTAAACCCACGACATTTACAATTGGAGTACGACCTTTTTCACTGGCGATTACAGCCAGCTTCATCGGGCGATATCCGGCATTGTGGATAATATTGGCCGCGAAAGAGACCAATATTATCTGTTCTTTCTTCGTGAAAAGGCAGAGTGGCAGCTCGTTAACAGAGGCCCTTGGGGCTGCGTGTGCACAGACACACCAGACACACGCGCACACACGAGTGAAACATGGAAAACCTGAACAAGACTTTCAAGTCCAAGTGATTTCTTGCACCAATCAGCAGTTGAGGGTTTTCGGTGGTCATCTCTTTGCTTTCGGCAGTGTGCAGAGAGCCAGAGGTTGGAATTTCACTTTCCTACGGTGAGGGCGAGTCTGTTTCAATGGGCAGTCACTGTTGAATTACCCCCCCCCCCACCCCCCCCCGTCCCAAAGGTCGTACCGATCTTATTGAACCTGGAGAGATCCAGGGCCAAGTTAACCCAAAACCTGAATTTGAAATTCCAAACTTGTGATTGTGAGCTGCCGCCCTCTGCCACTGGCTCACTTGGCAACAAACAGAACAAACCAAAACGCAACAAACAGTTCTAAAGAATCCATAATAGAGGTGTTTTGGGTTAGAGTGCGTCAATATAAATGCGTCATTAAAACCCGCCATCACCCGACACAGCCAATTAGTAAGGGTTGTCACGTAAACAGAACGTGGCCAATTCGTCGCTAGTACAGCATCACCGGTGTGTTGGAGAGCCAACACGATGTTTCGACAGTAATTACAACTAGCTTCATCAGGCGACAGCCAGATTTGTGGAGAAGTCTTACCGTTTCGTTCCTTATATAGAGGCGTAGATGTGGTGACCAGGATTCTGCACTCTTACGCAAAGTGGCGAGAGGGGGGGGATTAATGAGTCAAGGTACATTATGCATGTGCATTATGCGAGCCCTTTGAGCTTGTCCTTCCTGTCCATTGTATGTATTAAAATAACCTTACCAACGGTAATCCCTATTGAAGTATGGTGGCCTGTATAGGCATGCGTTTAAACAATGTATTATTTGATGATTCGCTTCCACGGAGCACTAAGTTGGTAGTTATCCGAACGGTTAGAATTATTTTTATTTTTACCGTCGGGTGGTGGCGGGTTTTAACGACACATTTATATATTTGCGCGATCTAACTCAAAAAAACCTCTATTATGGATGATATTGGTCGCGAAAGCCTACGTGTTAAACGGTTAAAAAAAATGAGTTTTCAATCTAGTGCTGTATAAACATCTTACACCCCCCCTTCCCCCCGCCACGCCAGTCCCCTTCTTCCTTCCCTCATGGTCTTCCGTGCCCCACCAATATATACATTTGGCCACCAGCCAGCCACTGGACAGGACAACTATATGCGACTTGGTCAAACACAAAAACAATGAATGAAGCCCAATATCTTGCCGATCACGTCAAGGAGCGCGAACCATCACGCGACCTGCGGTCACCATCACGCGACCTGCGGTCACCATTTGGTTCGGCCGTCGAACAAAGACGGCCATCGCACGGCGCTTTTAGACGAGCTTCTGCGGCCGTCTGGAACGCTCTTCCTTCAGATATTAGGAAACCACTGGAAGCTATGCCACTTTGAAATCTTAGATTGAAAAACTAATTTCTTTAGAACTACTTTTTGTGCTAGTTTGTTGTCCTTCCCCCTGCACCTCCGATTAGCACGGCTGGCTACGTACGATATGCGGAAGACGTTCAACATACATGCACACAGACAATGATGAACTAATTCAGTCTGCGCCTATAAATCAACCGCGGTACTTTTCCACTGCATTCTATCGTGCGACGCCTGTAATTCGGATGTCAGCATTCAACAGCTGATTGACAACAATGTCGCCAAACTGCCCCAAGAAAACTGTTTGGAGCGTGCACATTAAAACGGCAAAAGTCAAAGTGATTTGTCACTCAAAGCAGCTCGGGGCGGCTCTCAATTTTTTTATTTTTTTTACTGCCGTCCCTGACCCAGTAGTGGACGCTCCACATTCCTATGACAAGGGGCGAGTCTATATCCATAGGAGGACCGCTTAAAAATGGCCGCTTCGTTTCGTCGACATCAGAGGAGGGAGTTGTGGAGGGGACGATTCGGAGGAGGGTGCGGGGACACTTGTAGGAACGAGCGCGGATTTAAAACGCGCGCAACGTAACGTCCACACTGTTGAAAACCGTCGCGCGGCACGCCGCTGGAGACCAACCGCCGGTGCCATCCGCTCAAGAAGGTCGACCAAACAAGGGCGACTCAATCCTCCCTCGTCACTGCGTATCCCTCCGCATGGACACACGGGCGGTCAGAATCAACGCATGAACTCTACGAAGATCCCCCCCCCCCCCCGTATAGCAGACCGTTGGGGCAAGTGCTATGAGCGAGCACCTTCGATTATACACATGGACAGGGAGCTCCTGAGACTAACAAGACAACACCCCCCCCGCATCCTCCCCCTTTTTTCCCCCCATCTCCCGCACCGGTGGCAACCCGGCACCAAGCCGGCACCACGGCGAGAAAGGAGGTCGTGCACCGGATTGGTTCAGGCCGCAACAAGGTGGCAGGGCGTGTGGCAATCTTTGTTGTAAAAATGTCTGCGCCTGATAAAGAAGGCGCCCCCGCAAAACCCTTACCCCCCGCCACCCCTTCCGATCAATTCCCAGCCCCCCCCCCCCAACTCAGCCCCCTTCCCCACCAACCACCCACCAGCCGCGAACCTCCTCCTCTTACTCCCCCCGTGCCTCCCGCCTCCCCGGGCTGCTCTCCCCCCCCCGTCGCCCCCCCCCCTACCCCCCCCCGTACTGAGTGATGCATCATTGTTCTTCTGCGAGTGCTCCTCCTGTTTTTTCTTCCTGCTTGGCGAGAGCCTTTGATGTTGTGTGGAAGTCTCAAAGCCCAGCCACAAGGGCGCTTGCTCCCATCATCATCATCATTAAAGCAGGACCGCTCCTCTTTGGCAGGGGAGGGGAAAGGGGGGGGGGGTTTGAGAAAATATTCTCCAAATCTTTTAGCACCTTTTGTTTTTGGGCAGATAGCGTCAAAAGAAATAAATAAGCGAATTAATTCATCAAATGAGCCCGCCCATGCATTAAGGACATTAGAGAGATTTTTTTTTGCCGTTGTTGTTTTGGTCGTTTTGTTGCTTCCAATCACTCAGTTGGGGGGGGGGGGGAGTCTTATCGGCAATAAATTACGAACGCGCATCCATCTATTGTTGCGGTGCTGTTGTCGACGGACTGTGCGGGGCCCGCTAATTAAAGGATCGTCGAACACCGGGGGGAGGTGTGGAGTTCTTTAAAATTTACCAAAAAATACAAACTTCGAATCCTAAGAGTCATGAAATAATAATCCTATAGCGAAGCCCCTAATGGAAAGATTAAAGAACAAATGTACGAACCTATTGCGCGCCGATAATTATTCAGCAACACGAGGGACGCAACACAGTTTGAAACGGGCTTCGTGCAAAACTGCGCCTTGCATTTCCAGCATTGGGCGATTCGCAAAAAACATGTTGACAGCGCTACGACGACGACAGCGCCGGGGTTCTGGTCCGCACTGAGCGACCCGCGGAACGATGCGTGCGTGGGAAGTGGTAACGTCTACCCAAGCGCCAGCCAGCCGGCCCCGTGCGCCCCCCCGTCGCCTGCCGAGCCTTCCGATGCGAGGCCTGGCCCGGCTTTATCTCGCGCGCGCCATCTCCACGACGTCGCTCGCCGTCTCCACGTCTGCCTCACTCATCTGTGGGACCCGAGCACAGATTTGCTCCCCACCC